TGTGTGTGTGTGTGTGTGTGTGTGTGTGTGTGTGTGTGTGTGTGTGTTGTAACAGGAGAAAAGGAAGAGGCAGACAGAGATTGAAAACAAGAGGAGGCAGCTGGATGATGACCGACGGCAACTCCAGCATCTCAAGGTACACACACACTCACTTCCACATGCAAACACATGCTCACATTATGCACATGCCCTACTTGTACTAATAATTTTCAAAACAGGTTTGCTAATGTTTAGAAGTCACTGAGTTAGTTACAGCACAGTTGTGATGCTCTTCTTTATTGCAACCTTTTTAAGCAGACCGTTTACAACAAACACAACAAAACACTGGGATGTTCTCACAGGGAAAATTGTGGATCTGAGACCAAAATGTTGCACCATATTGAGCTTTGATCACCACAGTGTACACAGAGGACACAATCATAGAGTGTCCAGATCTTTGCGCTGCAGGAGTGTGCAGTGATTTGAAACATGGTTCCAGTTTAGCTGTTATTTCCACCTTAAGTAGGCAGATCCAGAAAATAATCCATTCTAGGGTCCCGGAATCAAACGTGAACATTGTAAAAAACAGTTTATTTTTCTAGTCCATCCTGTTTGGATGAGGTACAAAAGCAACAGGGGTCGGCAACCTTTTTGATATGAGGTGCCAACGTTACATTTTCTTGTTAATCAGTGAGCCATGTTAGCATTAATGTGAACATTAAGTTAAATTATGACACCGCATCAGCATTTTAATCTCCAACAGATCTGCAATGTTAGTCCTTCAATAGACAAAGTGCATAGCAACATTTGTCTCCTTTATCAGGACATTGTAATTATAAATGAGAGCACTATACAAGAAGGCTGCCATCCTTGTGAAAACATCCACATTAGAGTTCAAACCATTAACCCTTCTAACCCCTCCACTAATCTTGTTCATCAGCAACAAATTCAACTGCAAATGGCCAAGAAAGAGGTCATTTGAGTGAAAGGGTGTATTTGCACCTAGCACTGTATTCAACATCCTCTGAGAACACTTTCCAGTAATAACATGAACCCCTATACATGCCTCACCAGAAACACTGACGGTCAGCTCTGTCTTTTCTGTGAATTAAGCTCTATGTGTGAGTGTCACACACCCAAATTACAAAGTCAAACTCAGCAACTCCTTTTAAATCTATCAGTCCCACATAGTGAGATACTCCCCAACTGCTGCTGTCACGGAATGTTCAGAATGGTCCGTAGATAACACCAGCAGCTCCTCCACATGCTGTTTATACACACACACACACACACAC